TGGGCGCTTGCTTAAGGCCATAGATAGCCTTCTTGAGCTTGCACACCCGGCTGGTCCCATCCTCATAGCCGTCGGGCTGCGCCATGTAGATATCCTCCAGCAACACTCCATTGAGGAACGCAGTGGTGATATCCATCTGCTTCACGTACCATCCCTTCACAGCTGAGCCAGCCAGCAAAGTCCTTAGTGTCACTGGCTTAGCAACGGGAGCGAAGATCTCCCCGAAGTCGACCTTCTCTTTCTGCTCAAACCCCTTGGCGACCAAGCGGCTCTTGAACCGCTCCAAAGCACCATCAGCTCCGCTCTTCACTTTGAAGACCCACTTTCTGCTGATCGGCCGTCGCCCCTCGGGTAACTCAACTAGCTCCCAAGTCCCATTCTCAATGAGACTGTTGAACTCCGCATCCATGGCAGCCTTCCACTCCTCCTTCTGGGGTCCACTCAGTGCCTCCTCCAATGTGGCTGGTTCTCCAGGCAGAGGTGTGAAGAAACAGAACGCCATCTCCTCATCGTCTCCCTCATTCGCCTGAACCGCCATGGCACCTTGCTTAGGTCCTCCCAAACGGCTATACTTCAGCCTTGAAGGTGGTGCTGCCACTCTCTTCTCGCGGGTTGCAGTCTGCTGCCCATGTGGTGAAGCTCCTCTCTGCACACTCCTCTTGGTGACCTTGGCGGTTGCAGCAGGCTCGGGCTGAGATGGTGAGTCCACACGTACCGACTCGTCCTCCAACCCCTCCTCCGCAACAGGACCTGAAACTTGCTGCTCACCACCGCCGCTGTGGTCACTGGTCAGCTCTGACCCATGGAGATCATCAAGGTGCAGCTGAACCTCCTTCACTGCAGACCGCTCAATCTCCTGCAGACGCAAGCCAATCTGCACCTGCTGCTGCTGCTGTTGCTGCTGCTGCTGCTGCCAGTCCTTGTACATGACGTCCTCCACAAACTTGACGTCACGGCTGACCAGCGTCCTCTTGCTCTTGGGGTCCCACATCAGCCACCCCTTCGAGTCAGGAGCCATCCCAAGATGGACAGCCCACACAGCAGCAACTTCCAGCTTGTGCCTTTGCTCCTTAGGCACCATCACAAGCCCCATGCAGCCCCACACCCGCATGTCAATGGATGGCTTCTTCCCAAGCCAACGCTCGTACGGCACCCAGTACTTGTCGCCAACATGCGTCAAGACCCTGTTCTTGACCGTGATGACATGGCGAACAGCTTCAGGCCAGAACTTGTAGGGCATCCCAGCAGCCCCCAACAGAGTCTTAGCCGCCTTGCCAATGGTCCGGTTGGCACGCTCAGCTATGCCGTTCTGCTGCGGTGTTCCTGGGCAGGTCAGCTGGTGTCGAATGCCGTTCCTCTTGAGAAACTTGGTGAATTCCGCTCCAACGAACTCTCCACCACGGTCACTCCTCAGCACCTTCACCAACCGCATCGCTTGCCGCTCCACCATCGGCAACCAATCCTCCTTGATCGCCGCTGCAGCGTCGCTCTTCTTGGAAAAGGGACGTGCCCACGTGAAACGGCTCCATTCGTCCACCATGGTGAGGAAGTACAACACTCCCCCAGTCCCCTCCGTCCTCATAGGACCCACCAGGTCCATGTGCACCACCTCCAATGGTGCCTTCGCCGATCCCTCCGCACGTGGAAACGGGAACCGCACGAACTTGTTTTGCATGCACGCCTCGCAGCTGCCAAATGAAGCGCCATCTCCTTGCAGTTGCAGGCCGTGCACGCACTTCTCCTTGTGCATCACCTCCAATGTAGAAACAGACACGTGTGCGAGCCGCCGATGCCAAGTCTCCCAATCCGCTTGGCATGAGGTAGCCGACGCCTTCACCGCCGCGCTTCCTCCAATCAGCTCGTCTCCTTGCACACCTTCCTGCTCCTTCTCAGTGACGCTCTCCTCCATAGATGTCGCGGCTGCCGCCTTGCCCGATTTCCGCCAAGGGAGGACTGGGATCTGCCACATGCGCTTGTAGACATCTCCCTTCCGCTGCAGGTCCCAAATGAGGTGCTCGTCGTTGTAGGCACGATAGCGCTCCAAGCCAACCATCTCGGTGTTCACACCCACATCTCCTAACCGGCCGGTGGAAATCAGATTCGCGCACAAGTCCGGCACCCAAGGCACGTTCTTCAGCCCCACGAGCTCTCCATCCGCTCCAATGAACTTGGCGCATCCCATGCCCATGACCTTGGCCTTGGCGCCCGTCGCGGATGTGACCGTAGAGATGGGTGCGGGATGAATCTCATCGAGTAAGTCGGCGCGAGGAGTCATATGCCACGAGCTCCCGGAGTCAATCACCCAATGGGTGAGAGGGTGTAGGAGAACCTTGGTAGCCATAGCGGGGTCGGTTGCGCCTTCATTCACGAAGAAGAAGAACCCGGCCTTCCGCTCCTCAGATTTGCCGCCTTTCTCCTCATCCTTCTCCTCTCCACTAGCTCCCATGACTCCCCCACTCCTCTTGCCACCATGTTGGTTGCTTGATGAAGGCGGGATCCAATCCTTAGGTCGTTGGTAGCACTTCCTCCAACGATGCCCGCGCTTCTTGCAGTAGAAGCACACCTCTCCTTGGCCTCCGCTGCTCTCATTCTTAGAGTTGTCATTGTTCTTGCCCTTCCACTTCTTCTTGAAGCCACTCTTTCCACCTCCAACTCCATAACCAGCCCCCTCCTCCGAGCGCTTGACACTCCGGCGCCGCAAATCCTCCTCAAGAATGCGTGCCCGGATGTAATCTACGCTCCATTGGGGTTGTTGTGAGTTGAGGTTGATGGCAAGGGCAGACCACGACTCCGGTAGCCGTATCACAATCTCCACGCATTGCACGAGCTCCGGGTACACCACACCGCCGCCTTGGAGCTTCGTGAAGATGGCCCGCATCTCATCCAACACCGGTTGCATCGGCACTCCATCAACGAACTTGATGTCGCGCAGCCGCCGCGCGAGTAGCACGATGCCGGTAGCGTGTGTCGGTGAGTGCACATCTAGAAGCTTCCTCCAAGCCTTGGGGCCACACTCTGGATCACTCAAGAGGTCCTTGATATGGTCAAGTTGGCGTCCTCCAACCTCTTGCACCATGAGCATGTACGCGTCGAACAATCGCTTCATCCACGCTCCTTTCAGCTCTGCGGCCTCCGACATCTTCTCCTTCCCCTCCACCAGGTCCAATAGCTTGTATTGGGTGTACATCAGCCTCATGCGGAAACTCCAGTGCTCGTAGTCCTCCCCCATGAATTTCTCAGTAGAGAAAGCCTTCACGGGATCCACGGTTGTTGGAGATGGAGTAGTAGACGTAGGTAGCGTAGGGTTGGCTGGTTGGTGAGTCCCCACTCCACCACCAGCAACTCCCCCTGCTCTTCAGCCTCTCTACCTCTAGCCATCTCGCCATTAGCACCTCCAGAGTCCGTTCCAGTCATATTAAGGCCTTATGAACGGTGGAAACTTGAGAAATCGTTTGGAGAGAATTCTGCCAGAAAGTTAGATTCTACAAAAATCGCCGTCGCGGACTGGACACTTCGAATTAGAACGCGGTTCGACCACCAATCAAACGTTCGCGAGCAGAGCTACTAGAAACGGGTCTCACTCGTTAACATTGGTTGAGAATTGAAACGATTCGTCGTCTCAAAGTCGACTACCCGCTCTGATACCAATTGTTGTTCAGGATCCGTCACTTTGAGAAGTTACGACGAATTCATTTATCAACTAAACGCAAATCCGCTCGGTAGGATTATGCGCCTTAGGCTTAGCTACCATCTCCAATTCGACTCACTTAGAAAGATGGTCTACAGCGTGAGAACGACCTGAAAACGTCCAGCAGTTGCATGACTAGAATAGTGGAGGAAATACAAGCATCAAGGCATAGAATGTTGGAGTTGGGGACTCCAAGAGAACCATGAGAGGGAAGGGGTTCTCCAAGAGCTAGGGAAGGATGGTAGAAGCCTTCCTAGCAGCAAGGATGCAACCCTCATCATGAGGTCCTTGAGGTGTCACATGCAAAGTCCAATCTAGTTGGATTTTGCCTAGGTGTTGCAACATTTGCAACCCATGCTAGAAACTTCTAGCCACCCCAATCCAAAAGTCAAAGTTGCCTTCCTAACCACCCAACCAAATATCTCTTTATAGTCATGTCCCAATAATCACCCAATGTAGATAATATCTCAAAATGAGGTAGAATTCCCAAAACTTGGAAATCTTATAACTTGGGTGATCTTGGTCGGAATAAGGCGATCTTGGTATCATTGGAAAGCTCTGGATTTCTCCTGCATGATCAAGCATGTAGACTTGGAGAAAAACACAGAGATGATAAAATCTCACAGCCATGCATAATGACATATGCTCATGCAAATCATGCAAGCACAAATAGCACGAGAACTCGGCAGGACGTTAGGATGACATGCACTCAGAATGACGTGCATCCAACAAAACTCTTGCCAATTCTCCCCGTGAATGTGTGCGTAGAGAGAACACAAGCAAACACGCAAGGAACGCTACGATCACTCTCTCAACCGTGCCTTCCCTGTAAGTCTAGCTCCCGTTATACGAGTTATCTCCGCATGGTGCGGTGAGCGTGGAGCGAACCGCAACGATACCTCACGAGGCCGAAGAAGTCATAGCGGATACCCTTGTTACGATATGCACTTAACTAGGAACCGGGGTTTACTAGAGGCCTAGGCTTGGTAGCCTAGGCCAAGCGGGTGTCGAGAGTGGTGTGGCAAGGGAGAATCGAGAATCAGTGGCTTCACTATAGGTTTGCAAGAACATATAGCAAAGGAAAAAAAGAAGGTGCACCACCAAACAAGTAATGAAAGAACTACACTACAACTAACTACAAGCAGTTATATATACTATGTAAAACATAGTTTGACACGCCCCCATAACTGCTTGCAGGAAGAAGTGCAGTAAACGCCCCCTGAAGGGGTGCACCAAGGCGCAGCGGAAGACGGTAGAGAGGTAAGTGAGGAGGAGGAGGCGAGAGATATAGAGGAGAGGAGAGGAGATAAGAATGAAGGGGGAGGTGAGTGAGAGGGATGAGGAGAGGAGGTGGGGGGCGTGCATGAGCCTTTCTTCTCACTGCCGGCGATCCCTCTTACTAACCCCGTTTTACGAAGGGGGGAGGTGAGAGAGGGATGAGGAGAGGAGGTGGGGGGGCGTGCATGAGCCTGACTGCTCGATGCTGGCGATCCCCTCTTACTAACCCCCACATCCCACCCCCAATCAACCACCCCCCTTCAACCTCACCCCCCCTTATCAGCCGCCCCCTTGTATCTCACCCCCTCCCCCCCTCCCCCCCTTCCTCCAGCCCCTGCCCCACCCACGGTAGTCCCTGCAAGACATTCACACGGTGGCCAGCCCCCTCTCCCCCACCCCCCGTCCCCGCCTCCTCCCCCCAAAAGCAGCAGCCGCGGGAGGGGAGAGGCAGGGCAGAGGGTGGGGCTGCAGGGGCTCACGGCGGCCACCCCCACCACGCCACCTCCCCTTCACTACCGCAGTCGCGGAAGGGAAGGCGCCGAGGATGGGTCATGGAGGCGACGGGGAGGGGGCGGGGACGCAATGGGAAGACGACGGGAAGGGGACAGGGAGGTGCCGGGAATGGGACGGGGAGGGGACGAGGAAGCGACGGGGGAGGGACGGGGAGGGTACGGGGGGGGACGGGGATGGGACGGGGAGGCGACGGGAAAGGGATGGGGAGGGGACGGGGAGGCGACGGGGGAGAGACGGGGAGGGTACGGGGGAGGGTACGGGGGGGGGGACGGGGATGGGACGGGGAGGCGACGGGAAAGGGACGGGGAGGGGACGACGAAGCGACGGGGACGCGATGCGAGGTCGACGGGGAGAGGACAGGGAGGCGACGGGGACGAAACGGAGACGATGCGCGTAGGTGCTGGCGCGTTGGCGGTTCGGTGACGGGATCGCTGGCGGAATCGCTGGCGTGCTGGCGTGTCCGCTGGTGGGCTCGTCGGCGGGCTCGCTGGCGGGATCGGGCGGTTCTGCTGGCGGGCTCGTTGGCGCGCTGGCGAGTCGCTGGCGGATCCGCTAGCGATATCCGGCGGGCTCGCTAGCGCGCTGGTGAGCGGGACGGGCCAGCATGAGGCGGGCCGTTGCAGAGCCTAGGAGCGTGGTGGGCCCATGAGAGAACTTCAGGCTCTAGGAACTCACAAGCTCAATACCATGTTACGATATGCACTTAACTAGGAACCGGGGTTTACTAGGGGCCTAGGCTTAGTAGCCTAGGCCAAGCAGGTGTCGAGAGTGGTGTGGCAAGGGAGAATCGAGAATGAAAGGAACAAGAGAAGGTGCACCACCAAACAAGTAATTAAAGAACTACACTACAACTAACTACAAGCAGTTATATATACTATGTAAAACATAGTTTGACAACCCTGCAGGCGAGGGAGGCTGATGCGAGGAGACGACACGAAGCTGGCGAGTTCGGACAGGTGCTCTCCTTGGAGGTGGTTCTCATAGGGATCCGCAAGCAGTGAGCGGCGGAACACCCTTCCCGACCTGTTTCTCCTCGACCGGTGCACAACGAAGGCGGCGTCGGCGAGGGCGGAGACGACGGCGACCAAGTCGGCAGCAGTGCAGGAGGCACGTCGAGGCAGAGAGGAGTGATTCACACCGGTGAAGTTGGTGGCATTCAAGCGCGAGGGATGTAGTCGTCGGCGGCTGCTGGCACCTCGCAAGGAGACGTCGGTGGACGTCGAAGCAGTATGACGCTGGCATCGGCGACCCACGTGACGGCGGACGGGATAGCGCCGACTTACGGCTACTTCAAATTCACGCCGGACAAGATCGCCGTCCCCGTGCCGCTGGTAGGTCGACATGACCTCCTCACCTGGAAGGAGGCCATAGAGCCCCAGCTGGAGATGGCCGGCCTGATCTGCTTCTCCGACGGCAGTGTGGAGACGCCGCCAGAGTCCAACGCCGAGCTACGTGCAGAGTTTCGCGCCGTGCACCTGCTAACCTTCATGGTCATCTCGTGGTGCTGCTCGCCAGTGGTGCAGATCGCCCTGAAGTCGAGACGAAGTTCCTTGGACGCCGGTCATCAGGCGTGGCAGTTCATCACGTCGACGTACTAGGTCACTGACGACATGTACATCGGCCAGGTGGAGGAGCAGATGACGCACCTGAGGATGGGCGAGCAGGAGTCGGCGACCGACGACTGCAACCGAGCTCGACCCCTCCTTGCCAACATGCGGATGGCCGGCGTCACCTACTCGACGGCGTCATACATCACGCACGTCGTCAAGGGGCTCCCGAGCGGCTACAACCTGGTGCGCCGACTGCTGGTGGTGCCAGGGACGCGGGAGTCGCTCAACGAGGATACGCTGACCTCGTACATCCTCAGGAACGAGGCGATGCAGGGGGCCAAGAGGTCCACGTAGCTCCTGCCGCAGGCGAACTACGTCGCCTTGACCAAGCAAGGAAATCGGCTGGGGCAACGCGGCAAGCCTGGCGGCGGTGGTAGCGGAGGTGGGAGGCCGGCCAAGGATGACGGTCCTGGAGGCGGAGGTCGGCGTTGGGAGTGTTGGCTGTGCGGCGACCCCGACCACCTCTCCTTTGAGTGCCCCGACCGCGACGACTGTGACGACGACGACACAAGGGGAGGCCGAGGGAGGCTGGTCATCGCCCACGTCGGGATAGCATGTTGCGCAAGGAGAAGCAGTCGACCAAGTCAACGTCGGCGAAGGACGCCGACTCCCCCTCTGGCGGCAAAGGGCGAGGCGACGGGGAGGCATCGTGCTCGTTGGTCGGTGTCGTGGAGCCGACCGTCTCGCTGGCGCCGGAGGTTGGCGAGTACTTCCAGGCGGTGGCGGCCGCCGTGCAAGCAAACCCGGCGGTAGTTCTGCTCGACAACGGCTGCTCCCACCACGTGATGGGGACGAAGGAGGTCTTTGTCGACCTGGGGCCGAGCGGTGACGTCAAGCACGTGCGCGGCATCAATGGGGCGCTGCAGACCGTCCAGGGCCGTAGGACCGTCGCTCCGCAAGGAGAGGCCGGGAAGCAGGTGCTCATTCCCGACGTGCTCTATGTCCCGGGCGTGCAGGCTAACCTGCTGTCAGCCAGACAGCTGCAGGATAGCGATGTGAAGCTGCAGGACAACGGCGAGGAGATGCTACTCGTCACGGCGGCGGGGGACGTGCTTGGCGAAGTACACCGACCGAGTCCTCTGCACCGACCTGCGACCCTGCACACCGATGTCGACGACGGCCACGACAGAGTCAGTGGCCCTGCGGACCATTGCCACGGCGACGAAGTCGATGCCGACTAGGTGGCACGTGAGGCTTGCTCACGCCGTCGTCGACACAATCACGAGCTAGGCGAAGCACGAGGTCGCCACTGGCCTGGACGTCAAGCCGTCGGCCGACACCGACTCTCCGTGTCTCTCGTGCGTCGACGGGAAGCTGGCGCGGCACACCATCCCTGACAAGGGCTCGGACGCCGACGACGCTCTGGCCGTCGTGCACATCGACCTGTGCGGGCCGTTTTGGGTGACCGCCAAGGATGGCAGCATGCACTTCTTGCTGTTGAAGGACCGCAAGACCCGCTACGTGTGGGTGAGGCCGGTCGCCAAGATGTCCGACGTGCTGCGGGCGTTCGAGAAGTGGCTGCTGGTGCCTGAGCAGCAGACGAAGAAGTCAGTGTTGATGCTGCGCTCTGACCGCAGAGGGGAGTTCCTCGAGAAGCATTTCACCGACTTCGTAGACAGCAAGGGCATCGTCCACGACTTGACCTGCCCATACGCCCGGACTTGACGCTGGCACGCGTGTGGGGCGTGTGGCGACAACGACAGTGGAGCACCGGGCGGAGGGGATGCAGCAGACTTTGCTGAAGTCGGCGAAGGAGGTGTCGGCAGGGAAGCCGCCGACCACGAGCACCGTTGGGACATCGCCACGATGACGGTGAAGGAGGCGTTGGCGAGATGGAAGGGCAAGGCAGTGAAGGCCGCCATGGACGAGGAGATCCGCGGCCTCATCGGCATGGGAACCTGGGAGCTGGTCGAACGTCCACACGGGGTGAACATCACAACAAACTAGTGGGTCCTGATGACCAAGTACCACGTCGACGACACGGTCGCCCGGGAGAAGGCGAGGCTGGTCGTGAAGGGCTTCACGCAGGTGTATGGCGCCGAATACGACGAGACATACGCGCCGGTGAGCAGCTACGTCACGCTGAGGATCTTCCTTAGCATCGTCGCCGTCCTCGACCTCAACCTGATGCAGCTCGACATGAAGAACGCCTTCCTGCAGAGCAAGCTCGACAGGGTGCTGTACATGTACCAGCCGGAACTACGACGACGGGACCGGTCGGGTGTGCAAGCTGCTTAAGAGCTTGTACGGGCTGAAGCAGTCGCCGCTGCTGCGGTACAAGGCGCTCGACGACGTGCTGGTCGGTGCCGACTGGAAGAAGAGCCAGGTCGACCAGGCACTCTACTTCAAGGTCGGCGACGCTGGGGTGAGCTGCTGGGTGCTGGTCTACGTCGACGACTTGCTCGCCGCCAGCAGCAGCACCACGAGGCCGAGGGAGCTGAAGGAGCTGCTGGAGGCCGCCTTCGAGCTGAGTGAGATCTCGCCGGTGATGATGTACCTTGGGTTGGAGATCGTGCGTGACAGGCCGGCAAGGAAGCTGTGGCTGCACCACCAGAGCTATGCCGACAAGCTGCGCAGGTGCTTCATCGACGAGGAGCAGACCGGGCGAGTGCCGAAGACGCCTACGCCGAGCTGACGTTCGACGACGTGGAGGCTCAGGAGCGAGAGGAGGAGGAGTAGCGACAGAAGGTCGGCTCGCTGCAGTTCGCGGCGACAACGACGAGGGCGGACACCGCCTTCGCCTGCAGCAAGCTGGGGAGCGGCCTCACGGTGAGAAGCGATTTGCACTGGCGCGAGGTCGACTGTTGCCTCGCCTACCTCGCTGACACCTGTGACACCCCCCTGGTGTTCAGCGGTGGATCAGAGTCGCTGAAGCTGGTCGGCTTCTTAGACGCCGATGATGCCGGCGACAAGCAGAACCGGACGAGCACGGGAGGCTACGTGTTCGTCTACGGAGGGGCCGCTGTCTCCTGGTCGAGCCATCGTATCAAGTGTGCGACGTTGTCATTGACAGAGTCGACAGAGTCGGAGTTCGTGGCGGCCACCGAGGCCGGCAAGGAGGGACGCCGACTTCGCTTCCTCCTTGCAGAGTTCTGGCTGCTGGACGCCAGGACGCCGACGGTCCTTCGTGTGGACAACAAGTCGGCCATCACGGTCGCCAAGGGCTTGGGGCTGCAGGGCAACCTCAAGCACATGGAGCGACGCTATGCGTGGCTGCAACACATGGTGAAGCGCGGGAAGTTTGTGCTGAAGTACATCCCGACCACCAAGCAGCCTGCCGACTTCCTGACGAAGGCGATGCACTTTCCGGCCTTCATCCGGTGCTTTGTTGCAATCGGCCAAATGCGCCTGGCCGACGTCGGCGACGGTGACAACGACGTGCAGCAGTAAGTGCCATGCCCCCTTGCATGGCTGGTGCGGTGACCGGCGTGCTGTGTGTTGTGTGCACGCCGACGAGTTATACTCTGAGTGGTACTGCTGTGTGGGCTGGGGGCCCAAGCGTGAACGTGGCAGGGGAGTGTCAACGGGAGTTGTGTGTTGGACCCGTCCTCGCTTGGGCGGAGCCGACTTCGTAGTCGGGTATGCGGGGAGCGCATCCGACCTGCTGCAGTGGGCAACGCCGACTTGGGCGAGCTAGTCGACGGGCTTGGTCGACCTGCACGGTGGCCACTGTGAAGCCGCCAACGATGGGACGCCGGCGGCCGTTGGAGGTTGACCTGACGAGGTCGACCTGGGAAGGGCGCCGACTTGGAGGGCGCCGACTTTGGGAGGTCGACTTGGGAGGTCGACCCGGGAGGGCGTCGACTTGGTGAC